AACATGAGTGCCCCCATCCCTCTCTACCCCCTCTCTCTCTCTCCCTCTCCCTCAAGCCACAAAACTAGATCAATAAATTTTTGTTTAAAATAAGTCTTAATGAATTTTATAAAATTTTAGAGGTTACATTATAATTGTCACAATTTTATACATTAATCATAATAAAGAATATTAGTTAATTTCATTTAAATACTTGACAAAATAAATTACAATAATTTAACATATTTTTAGATTTGATTTTTTAAAAATACCTGTGTTTTAAATTAATGACAAAATCTCGACACTAATTGTGTATTACACAATGTGTAATGAAATTAATTTCATTTTGTGTATCAAAATTGGTGTTTAAGAGATGTGCCGTTTGTAAAGTCGTGTGAAGCAAATCTGTTGATCGCAAGAATTCAATAGTTTTCATAAATTGAATTTTACGACAATCGGACGATTCAGTCATTGACATCGGATTCAAATCATTGAGTTCTTCACAAGAATCAGACTTTTGGTCATAAAATGTGAAATTGTTTGAATCATTTTCCATTGAATTCTTTGATAAAGAATCCGAGGCATCATTCAAATGATTATTATTTTTGATTGCGTTTTCATAGTTTAATTCATTATTTATTTGAACGGATTGTTCAGAAAATTTATTTTTAATGCAAACCATTGAAAAGTTTGGATGACTCGATATTTGGTCCAAATCGGCATAAGTCTGCTCCTCATCTGTCATTGAGGCTGGCATTGAGTGATCCAAATAGTTGTCTGTTTGAACGAATCCATTATCTGATTGTAGATAATCGTCCCAATCTGTGTCTCCATTATCTCCAACGCAATCATTTGTGTCCCAATTGGTTGTCAAACAATCGATGTCTTCAACTTTAATGATTGGAATCGCATTCTTTAGGTCACACATGGAGTAAACGTTTCCATTATTGCGGGCCATCATTGCATCTTCAAAATTACACGTATTGTTGATAGCCTCCAAATTGTTACCTACATGTTTCTAAATGATTAATATTGACAATATTAAAGTTATTTATAATTCAAATATACAAAAATACAGATAAAATCCATATCTTTTCAGTTAATAATAGAAGTATTTTTAAGTGCAAACCATAGCATATAGAATACAGTATTTCTTATAAACATCACTTTTGCTGAGTTTGTTCTCAACTAAACATCACTTCATACTATTCCCAACCATTTATAACATGACAAAACGTGATAACTTATAAAGTATAGGTATATTTAAAAACCAATAAAAACGAAAGCAAATATTAATACTGAACTTTGTATAGAATATAAAATCACGTTTTGTCGACATATTCTGCATTGCATTGCAACACAATTCTTGTTGTATTGAAACTCATAAACTATAATATAATTAAGTGTTTATTTTAACTAGAAATAAAAAGCTATTGATATTTTTGTGAATTTATTGTCTATCAATAATTTATTTATTAAAATTAACATAACTTGTTAGCACATTAAATACTTTCTATAATTCAATCAATTATATTTTATTTTTAATCCAATTTTAATTATATTTTTAATTAAATTGTATCAAATTATAATACAATATAGTTAGAGATTAATCATTTAACAGAATTCTTTAAGAATTTGGAAGAATTTTTACTATAAGTTATTAAGAAATTAAAAATTAAATTAAAAATATTAAGAAAACAAAACAACTTTTAAAATTGTTTTAAATGATAAATCTCTTCAATCAATGTTGATTATACTCTATATTTTAGCTAATTAAAAGTATCTAACTAATAAATATGAAAATTTTATATTTCTATAAAAATTTAGGCTAAAGTTTCAAAATTTAACCTAAATGAAAGATTCGTTTAAATATTTCAATGAAATTTTCATCTCTAAATACTCAAAATTCTTTAATAACTTTAAACAGCAAAATAGTTGTCTTCATGCTATTTCTAAACAAAGAACAACATTTATTATTATATCTATTTAATAATATCTAGCTAATAACATATTATAATCAAATTAGCTCAAAACTAATTTACTCTATTTATGCCTTAAAAACATAGTTGTCTATTCTATAAATATCATGTTCTAATTAAATAAAATATTCATTCTTAATTAATCAAATGATTTTAATATGTTTTGCCTATTTTTACTCATGAAGTAATAAATTCATAATCTTTGACAAAAATAACCAAAATTGTATTCATTAGACAAATATTTTAATTATAAATGTATTAATATGTGAATTGCTATAAATAATTTGCCAAAAATATCCAATTTATAAACTATATTTATTCACAATTAAATTATGTAATAAAACCATTTTATTATAAACTTATAATACAATACATTTTTTTCAAAAAAACTAATGAATTAAATTAAATAAAGCCAAGGATTAGATGATTGAAAATATATTTGAAGTTACTGTATATAAAATGATGCAAACATTGAAATTCAAAACTAATGATAGAGATATGAATCACATGAGAAGCGAGGTCTGCTTCTTCCCCGGCCACGACTCCTTCGCGTACTTCTTCTTCTTTGGTTCGTTTGGATTGTAGTCGTATTGTTCGAGAGGACCCATCACTGGCTGCTCGATATGGATCTCCTCTATAGGCGTATTGAGGTCCACATCGGGCGCCGGATTCGGCAAATGAATGCCCAGTTTCGCCGATAAAGAGCTCGAAAATAATGGATTCGAATGGGATTTATGTGACGACAGATCTGAGGATGAGATGCGATCGGAACGAGAGGTGGAGACGATTGCCGTCTTGTCGTAGTGTATCATCGAATGGGAAGATTCCGTGCGAACCCTTTTATGCGGGATAACTGACGTCTGGACCAGATTTCGGAAGCGGCCCACCGATGGGTCGATGTCTTCGGGATTGATTACCTCATCGTCTTCGTTGAAACGGACGTTGTCTTTGCGTTTTGGCGCTACTTTTACCTCTTTGTCGGGTATTCCTAATGTACTGATCCGTCTATTCTGAGCCGTATTGTATTCGGTGAGGTTCTGAACCCATTAAACAAATCATTCAATTAATAGTCTGTTAGGAAAACCATTAATTATCTCATAACTCACGTCGAGTTCGGTTTCAGTCTCCGGAAGACCTAATAGATGTTCGATGTCTTCGGGGTTGGCGTCGACTGTAGAGCTCTTGGCATTCGGTTTCTCGCGAAGAATATAGACTCGAGTGGAGGCACCGAAATGAAAGTGACTATCGATCGGCAATTGTGTCGGTTTATTGGCCTCTATTCGCACGCTTCCGATGTACGAGCCGTGAGCTGAGGGGTAAATATGGGCACACATTAGGCTTCAATGGTAATCGGGAAACAACAACGAAGTAATCACTCACTGCTGCCTAAGTCGACGAGAAAAGCCCTGTCGAGGTGTTTATGGTAGACGAGTGCGGAGTGAACTCGAGAACAGGACGCGTGGTCTATGCAGAAGTCGGTGAGCGTCGGGTTGCGGCCAAACAGATAACACCGCTTTTCGTCAATCATTAGTTTCTGCAAAGTATGAAACAATTGTACGAAAAGGTTATATCATTTGACTCTAACTCTCAAATCAAACGTGAATTTAAGCTCTCATTCACTGGAAATTCATTCATTGATAAACAAATCGCCAGTGAATCTGATTTTTATGGCACTCTTTGTGGACTTTTATCCCATAATAGTATTCAATGAATACAATTGGGATCACAAGTCATCCGTTCAGTGCTTATCGAGAAATCAATACATTTTTTTTGTGATTATAATTAACAAATAAATAACAATAAATCGATGGCAAGAAAGTGGGAAAAAACAATGCATTACTTGAAAAAGTTTGCCCTCTTTTAGGACATCCAAGTGATGACCGTTTGGAGCCTTTCCAGCCCTGAAGACACATCAATACAATCATTAGTTAATTGCACAACAAATTCAAAATCAATGCAAACTTAATAATAATTGTTTGAGAAAACTATTGTCTAATTCAAGAGTTAAGACACAGACTTGTACTCAATGTATGGCTAATAACAATACATGTCTTTTAATAATGTAATTATGTTTTGATTTCATATAAAAGTTTATAAATAAGTTTTTTTAACAATTATAATAACATATCTATTGCTATAGTTTTTGGGTGGAAAAAACAACTGATTTGTGGACTATTTTGAGCAAAAATTGGTGTCAATAATAATGGGATTGAAAAATAAGTTTCCAATCGTTGAATGTCTTGTTTTTATGGATGAGTTGAACGACTCCTAACACTCTTAAGACATAACAGACATTGAATACCATTTGGGGATATCGTAATGGCTTGAAGTCATTGTCGTCACCACAACCGCAATCAGGCCTTCATTTCATTGGATTCACTCTTGGATTACAAGACAGACACATATATAACAGCCGAAGAGATCTTAGAGTTGTATCAAAAGCTGGTCGAGAGATGTGTTGAAAAGATTGGCAATGATTTTGTAAACAACTATTTGTTTGGTTTTCAAACGCAAAGCCAAAGCCCTTAGCATTGAGTGAAGGCGTGAATCGTGTGAAACAATCGCTCACTCTTTGGACTAAAGGATAAACCAATGGTTTTGCAGCCAAAGAGACAATCACTGTGTCGTCGATGAGAGGCATGTCTTAAGTGTTTATACCATATGTTTGGCTGACGTTTGCAAATGTCTCCCAAAGATCTGAGTGAAGATAACGTCGACCACAACACCGCTCAACACACACCACAACAATCGGGTGACTCGTCCTCCAGACAATCCATCGATAATATCGTCGATTCGATCGCTTTTGGACACCAATCGGACCAAAGATCTACCGCTGGAAGTGATCAACAAACGCAAGACAGCCGTCGTTTCATGAAAAATCAAATCTTCGGCTTTGATATGCCTTTCGATATAATCAGCGCTGCCTTTGCCTCGACTGTCGCCGTCGGCGGACTCATCGGATACCTGAAGGCCAGTCAGTACTCGTTTTGTACACATTTTTCTGTACATATGTTTTTGCATTCAATTTAATTGTAACCCCAATTGTGTGCCCAAAAAGAGAGCACATATTCATTGATGGCGGGCCTCGTCTTCGGCGGTATTCTGGGATTCGGCGCATACCAGACATCAGTGAATCCACGCAACTATTACCTGACATTAGGCACATCGGCCGCGTTGGGAGGTCTCATGGTTAGTGGTGTTAACACATACTGGATATAAGGCAGTTGTGTACTGTATACTGTATAATGTATTGCTTGTTGTGTACTGTAGGGCTACCGGGCCATCAATTCAGGCAAGTTCATGCCCGCCGGACTCATCGCTTCCCTCAGCGCCCTTATGGTCGTCCGCTTTACTGTCCGCTACTTCGCCGACACTAATTATATTAGAAAATGATTGGTTCCCTACTTTCAGACACTTATTTTTTGTGACATTTATTTGACTTTAATTCTCTCTTATAATACTTATTGTGCGAATCAATCCTTTTCTCTTTTATTCAATACAATAATCATTTGATACAACAATTTATACTTCAATTACAATAAACTTAGTTATATTTACTTTCCATATATTTAAGTAATAATTATTTCCATAATATGATTTATAAAATAAATTTATATTTCATTTAATGATTTTGCAAATTATTTTTGAAGATTCATAGAAATAGTTTTGTTTTTCATACAAATACCCAATTAATTATTGAAAAAACATGTTATCATTTGTCATATTCTTGAATGTATTACTGAATGCAATTAAGTACAAGTGACGGTTCCTCTGGTCTTTTGCCCGACTTGTGCCCCGACGTCGTTCACACACCAACAGTGACCGGTAGAGCCGTGACACTGGGTCTTCGCGTACCCGCCATCGGGAGCGCATTGCGGCACATATGCCCCAATCGGTGCGACTATTGGATGATTGTAATTGATATGATTAATCATTATAATCATTAATTATAACAACAATTGCAATAAGTTATTAATGAAAAGTAATAGTCACTCACTGCCTGCATTGCTGGGTCCCCCCGAACTGGTAACCTGTTGTTTATGTATCAGACAATTACATTTCTTAGTCTTTCTCGACGGCTGTGTTACAGGTGTTCCGTCAGCTTTTGTTCAATGAAATGTACATTTGTTTTATTAATGAATTGATAATACTGTATTGAAATAATTGAGAGTAAATTATACATACGTTTCCAACACTGACACCATTGGCTGTTTGAATGGCACTGAAGTGCCGAATAGGTGCCATTCGCCTCACAATTGGGCACCAAATTAACCACTGATGTGGACTTCAAAGCCCTGGCCCTCGCGATCTGGCACTCAGACTGGCCTACTATTCAATTGAATTGTGTGATTAAAATCAATATTTTCAATATAAATACCAAGTATTACCGCTCACAGAACCACTGAGTTGTTGGCCCAAAATATAAGACACATAACAGCACAGAATAAGAGCAGAAATAACTTTTAAACTCATTTTTAAAGTTTTAGTTTCACTGTGTGTTCACATATAGAAAACATTTTGCTTTTATACTTATTCTGAGGTAATTGCTGTCAAACCGCTCTCTTTGTTAATCACACTTTTCATAAGTGAAAAAACTTTGTTGTTATCCTTGAGATCCCTATTCCTGGAACTGATTGAAACCGACAAATATTTATGCTTTTACTTTAAAATATGAAGTTTTTTTTGCATTAGATTATTAATCAATTCGTGTTTTGCCTGTTTAGCAGTTGTTGTTTATATGGATTTAAACATAAAATTACATAATTTCTAAATTCTTGTAATTTTGGAAGCAATTAATCACTAAAAAAACGTGATGTGATGTCAGTATTTAGTAATCAAATGTCATTTTATTTATTATTAAATTCTCATAAATTTTCTTAATATTAATGAAACGCTTCAATATTATATTGACAATATATAAGTGACATTAATTTTGATGATTATATAAAAATGAATCTTTTGAATCGACTGTACATTTCAATTACGAAACCAATAGATTGTTTGTTCAGTAGGTATTAAATTCATAAACGAATTGAAAATTATAAATAACTCATGCGTTAGTTATTTTGTTGTGTGATATAATCACAAGTAATTCTAGATATTAGAGCAATAGATTGAAAAACAACGATAGAAAAAAACATAAACACAACAACAAAAAAAGATTACAAATTTAAATGATAATGAAATAAATAACATTTCAATTTTCATTAGTTTAAACCTAATAATAGAAAAACAGCACAATTTGTTGAGACATAGAACAGGAATACAGGAAATTGATTATAATTTGTTTTGTTTTCATATGAAAAACTAATTTCTAATGAACCTCATTATTATAATAATAATCAACTAATAATAATAATAATAATTAATTAGGAAATGGAAAAATCAATGAATTTAGCAGAACTTCCAGCGTTTGCCGCATTCATTACAGAAGCAGAATGTGGTCATAGGCTCGTCGGCGCTTCGGGTTTGGACCTGTTGTATGGTTTTAATAATTGGTAAGTATTTTGTAATCAACGATATTCTTATATTATTGCTGTTATAAATCAAGACAATTCAATACCTGATTGTAAGTACAGTTACTCTTTTTACAAGCGGGACATTTGATTAAATCTGTTTTAGTGCCCGAAGTCATAGCCATTTGGTGATCATTAATGGCCTCTTTGGTGAACTTGTTCCGCAATTCCTTCATGTCTTTACTCGCCATTTCCTGAACAAATGGTCCACAAAATCATGGATCAGATCCAATACAAGACAATCAAATAAATACAAACCTCGGCAGTCATGATAGCGATCTTCTCGGGTTTGATGGATCCGCGCAATACATTGAGCTTCAAATCTGGATTCTTCTTGTCGTTGAGGTTCGCCACTCGACTCCTAATCCTTGACTTATACTTAAAATTCGTGTCTTTGAACTCTTTGAAGACGTTGTTCTCGATTTTGCAGGCAATGTCTTCGGGATCGAAGAGTGTCTCATCGGAATCGTATGTGTCCTCGTATTTCAGAGCGTTAGCCAACAGTTCCCGGCATTTGAGTCGAACCTCATTACTGGTGTCGGGAGGGTATGACGACTGCCGACCAAACGACGGGCCATTCGGTGCACTCTTTGCCGAATTCGTGTTTGCGTTGGAATTTGTATTTGTCTTACTCTTCGAGTCGTTCAACGAGTTATTCTTCTGAGTCTCGGACCCATTATTGCCGGCTTTCTGTGCGTCCGTTTGGGGCTCCTTATCAGCCGCCGCCTTCGCGTCCTTCTCGACCAACAACTTCTTCCACGTCTTGATCAGTGTCTTCGACAGCGAGACCACGTCCTCATCGGTAATACTTTTGCGCAAATTGTTGACAATCATTCCGATGCGCGTCTTCTGCAACACTTCGAGTGTCATATTAATGGTCTGCAAAGCCTTCAACAGATCCAACGCCTGCGCACACGACTGGATGGCCAACGGATCCAAACGCGAAGACAAACACACAAAACAAAGCGTTAATAATAAATAGACAACAATTAAGACACAAATGAATAGTGAAATCAAATACCGAAGAATCCTTTCTTGACGTCATTTTCTCTAACTTTTTGCCAATTTTGTTGACATCTTCAGCGGTCGAAGACATGATTGGTTACGATTGGTATCAATAGATTGTCTGTACCTTTGGTTTGGGATCAGATGTGATCCGCTTTTACCACTTATTTTGTGTATCGTTTTCTAATGGGATCTAATGTTTAGGGATTTTGTTATTGTTTTTTGTCTGCGATATTATGGATGAGTTGTGACAATGATCTGCAAAATATGGGCTTTAAATCCAATGTTTAGTTTCAGTGATAATTAAATAACTTTTCAAAACAATTATTAAACCATTGATTGAGTGAATTATATGGACAACAATACAGCACTCAATGCACACAACAGTCGCTCACATGAATAACGTCTCACTAAATACTCACACCTTTTGCGCGCTTTTTTGTGGCACTGAATGGCATTTCACTACTCATTCACTACTCATTCGCTTCAATGCTTGTGTCCATTGGTTTTGCACTCAATTCTCATTCAGAAATTGCATTCAATTCAATGGCATTTTGTATGTATCGCCAAATCGATGTAAATGCCCCGGCACTTCACCAGGCACATTACCAGGCACAATTTATACTATTATACATGTCCAGACTGTTAATATAACTTTGTTAACTATATATACCATGCTCATATATCCAACATATTTATTTTTAGCTCATGTAATAGTCAAACCCCCGGTATTTGAGGCCAGAATCGATACAAACTTTAAGCGATTATTATGTGAAATGTTAGGCAAATGTGATTTGTATGCAAAATGTTATGTCATATGTTATGCAGTAATTATATAATAATTTCAATTGTATAATTGTGTTATATATAGTATAATGGAGTGAATTATTTTATAATTATGTTTTCCTAATTGTGTTTAGATTTATGTGTAGAGAAAATATTAAGCAAAGATTTACTGCATTTACAGTACATTTAGAAAAGTATTTTTGTTATGAGTTTTAGTGAGAATACAGAATAAATTACATAAAAATTATATTAAAATGTTTAACACTTTTACGAAATACAAAAGTTGTAACAATAACTGCAAACGATTTAATAGCATAAGCAAAATATGATTCCTGTTATGATTTTTATCAAATTGCAATCAAAACCGACAAAATATGTTTTATTTGTTAAAAGTTTACTAAACAATTATTTCAATGTTTATTACAGAATATATAAAAATACAATTGTATTTAATGTTTTGACAGTTAAATGTAAATTTATGATAATTAAACGAAACTATTTTTATAAATTCAAAACGTTTTGCCAACATTTAAAAAAGAGTAAAATCGCGTCCATTATCTCCGACAACATTTGGCTTTAGATTTTGTGTTAATCCCATGAATGAACTGAAAACACAAAAAGTTTTCTTCAAAACTTAAATATTGAATTGAATGTAATTTTATTAATTTTATACTCGAATAAACATTGAAACAAATACTTGCCATCAATTGATGTGAAGATTTAATTTAATTCTCCAATTGATGTCATTTAATTCAATTCAATAATGAAGCGGATGTGTTGTCCGGAAATTAATTTATTGAGTGAATCACTACTTGAATACATTGTCAGATCCCATACAATGGATGAGACAAAGAGACAAATTTGTCATAATTTCAAAAATGCTATGAAAAGTGATGCCAAAAACAATGCTTACAAAGACATAGAAAGAGAGTTTTCATTCAAATTCATTTCGACAATCATTTATTCTTAAGATTACAGACAAATACTAGAGATATGTAGAAATAAAACAAAAATACCATATAAACAGGTTTTAAAATATATTAACGTAATATTAATAATAACTAAATGTTTTGTCTAACTGATATCAATAGCCAATGCATTACTATTACTAACATTAATATTAAATTGTTTTTTATTTACATGATAACAATTTGCAATCCGAATTTATTTGAATATTGTTTTATTGCATGTCTTTAAGGTTTATTAAGCAAAACAATAAATAAATGAAAATAACGAACAAATAAAATATTTATTAAATAATTCAATAATTATTACATTCTTTATAACAATTGTTACAAAATTAATGTCTAATACAGTGAATAAATTTATTAGTTTATCAATATTAAGTTATTATTGAATTCTTTACGTGAAAACGAAATATATTTCAGATAATATTGTTTTTCAATAACTCATTCATCAGAGAAAGTAAGCGATCAAATGGAAAGCAATTCGTATTTTATATGATATTTTATATACAGAATAACTGTTATTATTTGCAGCGCTATTGACATTTGCAAAGAGTATTTGATGGCCATTAGGAATATTACTATAAGAAAGTAATGTTTGGACTAAAACAACAGCTGGACTTAAATCGTTATGTTGTTTGACTTATCGTTTCCAAAAGCAGACCCATATTTAAGGCCTAAAAAATTCCTAATTATAATAATAAGTATTGATTTAGCAAATGAATAGGCGCTGAGATTAAGTTTGAATTTTTAGTGACATTTCTGCCTATTTTTGACACAAGTATGAGAATTACAACAGAAAAAGTGAACCAAACCTTCAATTTGTTTATCGTTTCAATAGAAGAAAAAAGAGCGGAAAAATTGTCACAAAAAATCGGCAATAGATTTATGTTTGAGAGAGAAGTCATCGACTGATTGTTAACTAGAAATCATTAATCATAACCTCTTTCCCACTGTCCTCTGGCATAACAATTCTCCCCTCACTTTATGTCTTATATAATATCATCATTTTTTGTGTTCCTCTCAACTATTCATTCAATAATATGAACACAAAATACTTTTAGCCCAAAGACAGTGGCGTCGCATCCAATGAGGGAAATATTATTTTTTGCATTTGACAAACCCATGGTATGTATTGATATGTGTTGCCCATTGCATGTATTGTATTGTATAGTTTACACATTACGACACTTTCAAAATGTTTATCTTATCACACAATGAGTGATGCACTAAAAAGTCCTGTTTTCCAATGCCTTTGAGCCGAATAAAAATGTAACCATTTTTTATTAATTGAACTAAAATCTCATTTAATGTTTGACTACCGCTTGCATTCAAATTATGTATTAATTTTAATACAATATTTAATACATATATTAGTGTTTTTGTTTTAAACACAGTGAATATTTTTGGCAAAAATGTATTTAATTTATGTAATTCACGCCACTGTACAGAAACTGACTCTCACTTTCGGTATTCCGTGTTAAACATTAACTAAACTTCAATAAAGTTTTATTCAAAGTGAATATTGTATTATTTTTTATTTGGTTGTGAAGCACTCACTCACTCCCGCTTACAGAACCCCCCAAAGCATATCTCACATACGATTCACACCCAAATACATAAAAATTCATTTCGTCTATATTTCAAATATTTTATTTCCTAACGATATGTACAATACTATCAAAAAAGAAGACAAGATAGAGATCCACCCATTTTTGTCACTCACTATTCACTAATCATTTGCATAAAACATTGTTTCAGACGTGTTTTATTCGCATTCAATAATCTATTTGATTAAATGACTTCAAAAAACTAATCAACGACTAAGTGATGAGACACTAATCCGCCCGAAGCGTCATTTGATATCTCATACATAAAAAGCATATAATTTGCAGAATTTCAACCAAAAAACACTATTTTAAAAGATTTATTGAATGTTGGGCTCAATGAATAACAATGGAAAATACTTTCAATACATTATAAGCGCTATTTTGATGTTTCACTTAATTTTAAACATTTTCTTTTTGTTCTTCATTTTCCGCATTCTTTAAAGAAAAAACTCATTTTCACTGACGATATAAAAAACAAGAAGAATAATAAAAAATCATTTTTTACATAAGAATATACAGTATATATATTCAAGAGAATGTATGGATTCTGTGTTCGTTGTGATAGACACGACATCCAGAGGGCGATCACTTATGTGTACACTTAATGGGGAATAATGTCAACCATAAAGAACTCTATAGAAATCGTATTGCATTTAATGTTCATCATTCAGACTGTGAGCTACTCTTCTGCTACACATTGAGAGAATCAGTGGTTTTTTACAAAAAGATTTACTTAAATATACATTATATGCTATATATTAGACACAATTTTTAAAAAATGTAAAATACATTTCTTCTTCATCTCCTCTTTGCTCTTATCTTCGCCGCACGAAAACCAATTAAAATACATTTCTTTCTCTTCTCTTTCCTCTCATTCTTTCCCACTTCTCTCTATACTAACAGTAATTCTCTTTCATATTTTCTTTTTCACTTCTTTTTCATAATTCAAGTGTTTCTTTCGATTCATTCAAAGACTGGCACTATTTTGTGGGCGAAAAAAAACAGATCACAGAATTTTATATGAAAACGACTCTTTGGTTAAGACACTTATTTTTTTTATGCATTTTTTCGCCAATGAAACAAATGCCTAAATGTTGTGTTCGTCACGAAATCATTTAACCAGAAAATAATTTCAAATTTATTTTCGGAATAAAAAACTTACTTTTTTCGCAACACTTATAACACCACAAGAAGTGAAGACACAGACAAAAAATGCAAAGAAATTTATATAATTTTGTCATTTGTTGGCCAATAATAGTCAGTCTTTCGGGTGAGTTGTTTAAAACTTTTTTATATTTATAACTTATTTTTAGTTTAAAACTTTAATTAAAATATAATCGCTGTTCGTATGTATTAACTATTAATTACTATCTAACATAAGTTGGAATATTTAAATACATTAAATGCATTTAATCATTGATTAACAATATTACAGCACTGCCTATAAAAATAAAAACATTTATACAGTATTTATACGCAAGCTATAAATTGATTTATAATGGTTTATTAATAGAGATATTGAATGTATATTAATTAAATATAATGTGTAATTGATGAATTTATATGTTAAATCAATAATAAATGACACAAACATTTTGATTAAGCATTTAATATTGAATAATACTTTACATATTTTACCAGAATTTGAGTGAATTCTTATGCCTTTTGCCATTAATTTAAAAATATAGTAATTTTTCATATTTTCACAGAATATTCATTTTTCATAAACACTAAATAAATTCAAATTAGTTGTAATACTTTGTCGACAAGTAATTTAAAAGCCTATTATTCTTTTCAAAAATGCATGAATTTTATAAACAACATTCATAGAGATTATTACATAAACTATTGAAATGAATACAATAACTAATTATTAAATGATCGATAACTAAATGCTGAATAATTTATAATAATATTCTAATCGCTTTATTCATATTTTTGATTGCGTTTATAATATAAGATTATTACATAAACTATTGAAATGAATACAATAACTAATTATTAAATGATCGATAACTAAATGCTGAATAATTTATAATAATATTCTAAT